CATGTCCGGGTAAATCCGGACAAATGGTAACCCTACCTAAGGCTCACACCAGATGGCATTTTTTATGTTTACTGTGATTACAAAGTATGGCTATGACATCTTAGATAAGGACCCAATCTTGTGAGGTGTTGAGCATAGCAGAGGCAGTATCAGAGCTAGTAGAAGGGATGGGGGGAGAGGGAGGAGTGACTGCACCCCCCAGCAGCCTTTAGGAATATGTGTGGTGTCTTTTCAAACATACTATGCAATTGACAAAAGGAAGTGTACAACACAAATTGTCATATGAGGCTAGAAAGCAAGCCTAGCCTGTACTCACGTGGCAGTGGTGGCTCCTGTCCCATGGGGCTAAGTCTAGCTTGGTGCATGGGATCACATGGCACTATAACCCCATGCACCATGTCACAATGCCACTCACTCAAATTTGGGCAGGGTTTGCCTCTTCGTGACAGATGGGTGGTCGGGCCAAAGATGAATGGCATGTTCTGAATCAGAGATAGAAAAGATTTTATTGGATCGCTCTCAACTCGAGTCTCTTCCTGTGACAATTCCAATGGCCACAAACTGTCAATTTGTTGAAATGTGTGCTCCATCCCTAGATGAAGGCATCTGGTAGAAATGCTCTGCCTACTTGACAGCTGAGAATTGCCCCTGTAAAGGTGATCCTTTGTGTAGGTAACTGGGACTCATGATGAACATGGAAAAAACTCTTCAATGTCTCGAAGTAGGAACATGTGCAATCTATGTTCTTTGACAGGCCTTTTTGTGATGATGGTTTCTTCAAGCCAATCATCTAAATAAGAGTAAACAAACATACCTTGGCATCTTAAGTGAGCTGTTAAACTGGATGGGCACTTTGTAAACACCCAGAGAGCAGTAGATAGGCCAAAGGGTAAGGCTTGGCACTGGAAATGATCTTGTCCAGAAAGAAAACTAAGGTAATGTCTGGGTCTGACAGAGTTCTGGAAATATGCATTTTCAGGGTAAGAACTGAAAACCAATCTTGGGTAGATAGGGAAGGGATGAGGGATGCCAGGGTGAATATACATAAGCTGAATTTTCTGGTAAAGAAGTTGAGCTTCCACAGATCTAATATGGAATGAAGCCTTCCAGCTTTCTTCAGTATCAGAAAATATCTGGAATAGAAACTTTGTCCTCTGAATTTCCATGATACCTCTTCTATGGCTCCTCCTTCCAATAGAGAGTTAATATCTGATCTCAAAAGGTTTTCATGAGTGGGGTCCTTGAAGAAAGGTGAATGATGGGGGGAGGGTTGGAGAGAGGAGGGAACTGAATTGGATGGCCTAACTATCTTTCATTATCTTCAGAATTTATTTGTCTGAAGTGATGGTACTCCAGGTTGTTGACATGGGAAAATCAGTCTTCAAAAGATGAGGATGTGACGTGGCTGAAAGTTGGTCCATAGCTCCCAATCTTCACATCAGACTCAAGGCTTAGCATTTGGTTTTGATGAAGAAGCTGATAGTTGCTTCCTTTTCATTTTGGGCATAATACTCTTTCTCTGCTGTTGTGTCTGTAAAGGAAGAGGTGGTTCTTGTTGGAAATGATACTTTTTTGAAAACTAAGAGGAAGGAGAGGAAGAATGCTAAAACTGTTTTTGGTATCTAAAGACAAGAAATCTTGCAGACAGTCTTGTGCCTTTCATTTTCTTGAGTATTTTGTCAGTCTTAATACTGAACAACCGATTCAGGGTAGCTCTTCTACTTTCAGTTTAGATTCAGGTGAGAGAGTAGATGATTAGAGCCAAACATAAATACATAACATGATTGCTGACATGATCACTCTTGCTGCTGAGTTGGAAGAATATAAAGATGCACCTAGAGAATGTTTAGTCACTATTTGATGATCTTCTGTTATCAAGGCATTGGCCAGCTTCCTTTGTTCCTTGAAACACATTGACAAAGATGGCCATTCAATCCCATAAATGAAATTGATAAAATGACATCACTGCTTGGACATTTCCTGCTCTGATACCAAGTAATGCAGATGATAAAATGTTCCTCATTATTACACCCATCTTTTTTCCCTCCCTATCAGAAGACTTAAAATGTACTTGCCTTCTCTTGCAGACAACCATAAAAGATACACAATCTCTTCACCGACATCATCTAGATAGATTAGACTGTGCATAGAGAAAGGTATAAATAAGCAACTATTCAACCTCTGTAAGGTTTAGATTACACTTCTCTAGGGACATAGCTGCCTCCACAGCATGTTTTACCCACATTTTAGATGCAAATATCTGAAGGAATGAAACTTAGGACTCGAGACACATATTTACATTCCCTGAACCTAGCATCCAGATGGACTGTTCAGTTTGGTAAAGCAGTTCTTCAATTCCTATTCAGTTAGGATTCCATGTCCCACCTTCCTTACATGAGGTACTGCTTATCGAACTATCCCATGAGTGGGAATATGTAGAGGATACTCAAATGAAAGTTACAGATATGTATCCAGTGTTCTGTGAGACGGACACTCCTTTTATACCTTCCCCTCTTCTCAAAGTCCTAATGAAATCTCAGACCTAAGGAGACAATGGAGGAACGAAGGCAGCCAGGGCACCACACTCACTG